GATGTCACAGGCAGGGGGAACATTGGGCTCTGCTCAGGTAAGCTGGGAGTAACTGGGGACAGGATTTCTTGAAGTGCAAAAGGGAAGAGGCAGGGAAATAAACTTGGATAAGCTGTTGCTGCGGGGACTGAGATGCCCCAGACAAGCCGTGCACTCAGGAGCTCTGGTACCTTTGGGTCCCTGAAGCTGCCGTGACAGGGAGAAGCCAAACCAGTGGTGTGTAGTTCCAGGAGAAGCAACCAAAGGGTACCCTTTACCAAAGGGTCCCTGATGCAGAGCCAGGGCTGGAAACCTCCTCCAAGAGGGGTGTGGAGGGTGTTGGGCACCAGGAGCACGGATACCTCACACCAGTGCCACCTGAGGGGATCGATCCCAGCCCCACACCGGCTCCTACAAGCCACAATCCCATTACTATCGATGCTTTTCCAGCCCTGCCACACTGCCCCGACCCTGTTCAATACTCACCATCACCATTCCCAAGGGAGGCGTTTTCCCGGGACCGCGAGCAGTGATTCGGCTGTGCACGAGCCGCACCAGCCCAGCCGAGCTGGGGGCTGTGGAGCAGAGGCCGGGCTATGCCTGGCAGCCCCCCCGACCAGCACAGCCCGTGTCCCGGCGGGCGTGGGGAGCTGCCCCGGCCAGCGCCGCTGAGCGCCGGCAGGTCGCAGCAGCGCCCGGTGCTCGCTCGAAGAGCCCCGAGATGCGCTGCTGGGAACGCACCCAGAGCCAAAAGCCTTCAAAACAGACGCAGAGAAACTCGGCCGCCAGCAGGCGAGCACCTGGGCATGGGCAGGAGGCGAGGCCCTTTCACAGCCTCAGTTACACCAAAACCAAAAGGTCTGGAAGGTGGGGCTCGCTCTTCCTTGGATTCCCCAGCTCCATGGATGAGCTCCTGGCTCCGTGTTCAGCCTCAAGTGATCACAGGTTGTGGTAAAGCCTCCCAGGGGAGCTGGAAACGAGAGCCAGGTGGAGCAAGATGAACCCAAAGCAATCCCAGGCCACTTAACACACCCCTGAACAAACCCATTTTTCAGACCAAAAACCCCTGCACCCCCCAGCTGCCCCCCTGGCCCTCTCAGGTCGTTACCACCACAGGGCTCTCCAGGGGGCTGTGCCCAAGCCTTGGCTTTGCTCGGTGTGTTGGGACCCCCAGACCCTGCAGGCACACAAAGGGGAGAGGCAGCAGTTTTGCTCCATGACCCCCCGAGCTCGGGGAGGAAACGACCCCCGTGGAGCCCCATAAATCATGAGATTCTGTTCTGCAGCGCTGGGCAAATGAAACGCTGCAGAGATCCAAGGCTGTGTGTGCTTTGGCGTGAGAAGAGCTTTTCCAGCCACGCTGGTGCCAAACACCTTCCAGTCTCCCCTCAGCCTGGAGAACTGGCTCCTCCACCCTTTATCCTTTCCCTGGGGCATCCCTGTGCTATCCCTGCTCCCGGCCCAGAGCCAGGTTTTGTGGCACTGTGTCAGTGCCATCCCACCAGTGCCAGGGCAGCGGCAAGTCCAGGATTTCTGCTGGATGCTGGTTGGGAACGTCTCCTGTGCCAGAGCCAGCCCCGGGCCTTGCGTCAGCCTCTTCCCCAGAAAGCTGCTGGGGAAAGATGCCCCGGTCAGCACTTTTGGAAGAGATTAATATTCAGAGGGAAAAGCAGTGATTTAGCACAGCCCAAGCACAACAAAGGCTGGGATTTACAGCTCCCGGATCCCAGCGCCGCATTCCTGTTGCACTTCTGCCTCTGCTACAAACGTGTAACAAAGGAGACGGAGCTTTATCCGGGCCTAAAGCAACGTGGGACAACAGCCCCGGCACCAAACCCTGCGTGGAGCGGGACAGGGCGCAGACTGCAACGTCCCCAGGGTGTCCCCAGGGACACGTCCCACTGCCCGTCCTGCTGCCCATCCTGCTGCCTGTCCTGTGCAGGGCAGGGCCCACGACAGCAAGGGTTTGGGGGAGCCACGTGCCCCTCATGCTGCCCCCGCCGCAGCTGCGCACATCTGGTTCTGGCTCCGCTCAGCTGTGGGTGGCCGGGGCTGGAGCCCGACCCGGGGGTCCCACTGACCCCGCAGCTGGGTGGGACGGGGGGACTGGAGGGCAGCCAAGGGGGCCGGGGCAGCCATGGCCCCCAGGCTGAGCGGGAGGAGGGGGCACTCCCCACACACCCGCTGAGCCCTGCTCTGGGCTGGAGGACCCTGTGCCAAGGTGGGATGGCACAGGAGGTTCCTGCCATGGCTGGCAGCGGGACAAGGCCCAGCTCAGCGCTGGAAGGGAAGCCACATCCTGGCCCGAGGCCAAGAGATTGTCCCGGTCCTGCACAGCCCGAGGGCTTTAAAAGGAGAGAAAGAGGAAGGCGAGGAGTGGAGGAGACAAAGGACCTGCTGCGAGAGCCAAACGCGGGGTGGGCCAAGTGCTCGGCAGCCACCAGTGCCCAACGCCCCCCATCCACTCAGGGGAGGGGGGCAGGTACCGCAGGCAGTGCCTCTGGATCCCCCATTGCTTTGGGGTCATTTCCCAAGGGACCCCATCCCACCCACCTCCTAAGGGGAGAGCCTGGTGCCTGGTGGTGCTGGAAGGGCTGCAGGCACCCACTGGGCAGGGACCGAGCAGTGCTGGGGGTGGCTTTGGTCCTGCAGGTCTTCCACAGCCCTGAGTGGGACCTGCAGGGTGCTGATGCCAGCTTTGGGGTACATCCTTCTCCTGGATTGCCCATATGGAGAGGATGCCTTACCGGGAAAGCAAAGAGGAGCTGATTCTCCCTGCTGGGATCCAGCATCCAGGCAGTCCTGTCCCATCAGCCTCCAGGGTTTCAGCTGGGTGCCAGCCAGTGCAGCACCCCGGGGACCATCCATGCCTGTGTCCCCACATCCCCATGGGACACAGAGAACACCTGGCTGCACGTGCCCCTTCCCAAGCCCACAGCGAGCACCAGCAGTGCTGCTGCAGCCGCTCTGCTTATTATCATATTTAATTGCCCTCCTGGTAACCCCAGGAAATGAGCAGGAGATGGTGAGAGCAGCAGTTTGGGATGATGTAAACATGAGCTCCAGCTCTCCCCGTGCCTCGCCAAGCCAGTCCCGGAGAGAACAGTGATTTATGGAGCCCCCCAGCCCCGCTCCCCCCGACCGGGCCGCGAGTTTAATCCCGGGCTGCAAATTCAACATAAATCACTTGATTAAAAGCTCTACTTAATTTAAAGTGGGGGGGTGGGCAGGGCGCAGCTGATCGATTTAATTTACACCGGGAAATAGCAACAAGCAGACGCATTTAAAAAGGCCGGGGAGGCCAGGGATGCTGCAGCTGCTTCAGCTTAACCATTTAAGGGCTCGGGAGGGGCTGGCAGCCCCTCACCCCCACCCCCTCTTTGGTGAACCTCCCCCCACACCCCTGCCTGGACCCTGCCCCCAGCAGTTTGTGGGGTGCAGGATGCTAAAACATTTGTAGGGGGAGTGTTGGAGCCCAGAAAAGCAGGATTCCTACAAAACCAGCCACCATCCAGGCTGCTCCCTGAATGTCACCTTCCCAAAGTGCTGCTTGGATGAGCTTGAGCACACAGAGCCCCGAGAGCCCCTTCCCCACCGCCCCCCAGGGACGGGCCGTGGCCGGCAAAGTCGCGGTTAAAGTCTTTAATAATTACAAGAATTCCAGATTCATTACAGAAGAGTTTACAACAAATAATATTTCTCCATACAAAGGCAAAATAAACTTTTCAAGTAACAGCGGCCTGGCTCCGGCGTCCCCACGCCGGTGACGGGGAGGGAAGGGGTAAACGTGGCCCCTGCCCTGGTGAGGGGCTGCCCTGGCCAGGGAAATACCCCGTCCTGCCGGGCACTGAGACAGATCGGGGGGGGCACAGAAGGGCAGAGCTGGGATGAGGCCACTCCCCAGGTGCTGGTAAGGCACTGGCTGGCACCGCCGGGGGAGTGGGGGCTGCATGGGGTGCACGTCCCCTGGCTGGCGCACAGCGTGACCTGCGTCCCCCTGTCCCTCCCCACAGGCAGCTGAGGGCCAGGCAGGGGCTGCAGCCCCTCCCCAGGGCACTGGCCCCACACACCAATATGGTGCCACGGGCACTGCCCGGCCCGGAGCCCTGGGAGGGAGCAGGGGGGACACGGGGGGGCCAGGGCGAGGCCAGGCACGTAATGACAACGGATTCCCAAAAGGCATCGACACGTTATTATTATTGTTTAATACAACCCCATATAAAACTGAAGCAGCAGCAGCAATTCTTATCAAGGGACCTAAACTGAAATAGGTTTAGAACATAATTTAAAAAAATAAAAACAGCAAAAGTAGCAAAATATATGAATTTTTTTTTTTTTATAGCAACTGATATCTACCAGCCACTAGTACCTTCCTACCAAACTGGTATATCTCTGGTAACAACCCTTTTAAAAAGACATGTAAATATATATTCATATTTATACATATTTTTCGTTATGTACACAGGACTCTGGGTTCAGCACGGGTGGATGTGGCTGTCTCTGAGCAGTGCTGGGTGATGTGCCTGCTGACCAGCCCCGGAGCATCCTGGGCAGGAAGGGAGCCCCAGCCAGCCAGGATCCTGGCACAGCAAAGCTCCTGGCACACCAGTGAGGCTCCCCCATGTGCCAAGGCTCCTGGCACACCAGGGCTCTGGGCACACCAAGGCTCCCAGCACACCAGGGCTCTGGGCACACCAAGGCTCCCAGTACACCA